ATATATATATATATACATACATATATACACACACACAAAATATATTGAACTTGATATGTATTCATTGTTAATATTGTAAATTACACAATTTAATTCACACATGAAAAGCAATAAGGTTCGTATTTTACTATTGTGTTTCATTTCTCATGGGCAATTTAATTTTTTGTTAAGCTTCTGTTTTTGTTAATTTGTTTGGCATGTTGTCGTGGCCTGAGCATCCCTGAAGTTCGGTTTTAAAACTCCAAAATAAAAAGTCAAAAAGATGATGCTGATGTGATCCTGGGTCACGTTTCCTCTCTAGACGGGTGGTAACACAAGGTAAATAAAAGACAAAACACAATCATGTCTAGTGTCACGAGTTATTATCTTGCTTTGTATTGTGGCTTGAGGCAGAATGAGTGTTTGTTTCTTTGGTCAACACTGCCTCTGCAAGGCAGAACGGTGACTGCACTCTACATCCTCTAGAGGCAGGATTATCCTCTGACATTACTAAAACAACCACACTCTCACCTGTATCGAGTGGGCCGCTCCGGGGTCAGAGGTCATCGCCTCGTTCTGGACCGTGTTGTGCTGCGTAAGACTTTCTTCCATCTTCTTCTCCTTCTCTTCTCCGTCATCGTCATCAAGCTCATCCAAGCTCTGCAGAGAAATTTCAGGCTCGGTCAGTTTAGTTTGTTCAGATTGTTTGGGATTTGTGGATTATTTTCACATGATGAGATAGTCTTAATTGTGTTCTCAAGACATACACAAACAAACACAGGAAGTGTGCTACCGAACAACCTCTGTGGTATGAGTCTAGGGGATTTTTGGGAAGTGGAATGTCCCAGTGCACACTGGGTGGGAACAGAACATTTTACATGTCTTAAAACAGACAACCTTAAACACGATCCAATAAACATGATAATTTAGAGAATACTAACAGTTTGAGCTAATTATGAATGATAACACCCATCTCCCTATGTGACAAAAGTGACCGAGAGAGAAACTGGTTTTCTGGTTGCACGTAAACCAGTCTTTCCTGTTCAGGAAGAAGGAGAGAGAGTGGAGGTGGAGTTCAGAACAGGGCTGGGAGGGTAAAAATAGCCTTACAAGCCTAAACTGGAATGTAATCATTTACACCAGCTTTCCGGCCAGCCAGTTTTATCAACACTTCCTGGGGACGGAGCAAATTCTGAACCCTCCCATTGGCATTGGTAAACACAAATGATTGTACAAACTATGACTTAGACACACACACACACTTACTTTCCCCCTCCCCAGGGATCAGTAAATAAAAAGGCACAGTTCATAAACCCCCGCTGCAGTCTTAAAGAGGTCACTTCTGCACTCCGCTGCCCGTTAGTCAAATTGAGACATTCCCCTGCCTATTGACAATCATTTATGTCAATTAAGACAGCTTATAAACTTGAGGGCAAATTACTGTCACAACAGTAAATGACTATTAAGACATTTTCAAAGGAAGCCATTATTGTACAAATATATAAAGAGAAACAGGCTCACACTAAGTGACCTCTTGAAAAAAATAAAGGGGGAAGTAGACCTATTAACATTGACCGTGTATAAAGATAATCTGTTTCGCCCTGAAACTTCTATGCCAGTTTATGGAGTTTTATCATCACGTAGGAGGTTTGGAAAGACGCTCATTTAAAGGGATCATATCAGGAGAAATACATTATTTTCTTTTCTTATGAAAAAAATGAATAATGTGCCTGATGAAAAGTCCATTTACATGTTTTCATACAGGCATCACAGCAAACAATGACCCCTTTAATTCTAAGGTTCAGAAAGCGGTGAAAACGGTCATTAAAAAGATAAATACAAAAAAAGTAAAAAATTAAATAAACTAATTTAAAATGAAATTACATGCATATATTAAATATAAAAAAATTAACTCTCTCTCTCTCTCTATATATATATATGAAGAACAATGTATAAGGTTGAACAGGGACAATGAGGGTCTGTGGCTTCATAGAAGAGGGTCTGTAGATCAAGTATTGCAAAAATAGAGAAAAGAAAGGCTGCAAATTCCTTTCCATTCTTGTTTATAAAGCAAAATCAATAAAAATGCATTTAACTCAACATAAGTGGACATGTTTTTATTTGAGTAAATAGGTTAAATGGTCACACCTTTAACCTCCTCATGTTTGTCATGAGGGAGAGGGGCTTTATTTACAAACAATAAATAAAAATTCCATCTGTGCTCATCCTCTGCTTTATTAGGAATGCATGTGCGGGTGGAAATTTTGCAGCTAGCCAGTGGGGGGACAATCTATCATGTTAATACCCCCTTTCCTGGAAGAAGGAATGTGCAACATGTCTGCCACAAGTCTTCAGCCTATCCCACCATCTTAACTTTAAACTTTGTTGTTGTTGTTTTTCAACAGTCAAAGCTGAACTACCTGAAAATGTATGCATATGGCATATTCCCTCAAACGTATTAAAGGATCTTTTTACATTCTTAAATGATATCTTTTTAACTACTTTGTAAAATCTTTATAATAAAATGATACAATCTTCAATGATAAAACAATGCAATTATTATTATTATCGATAGTAATAATAATGAAATTTTCATTAAATAGTTATTTTCTTACACTTAAATCCAACTTTGAGATCATATATACAATTAACCTTTAGGAAATATACATATTTAAAATGTACAATCTCTCTCTTATGGGAAAACTATCTAAAAATGATGACGACTTATATCTTGTGTATTTTATCTTGGCTGGAACACAGTATTGGCCAAGCAGCATCCAGAACCAGAACTATTTTTATAACTTGCCTATTATACTCTGCTCTTCTGGGTACTGTATTATTTCATCCACTTTTAATAGTGAATTCATTTTGTTTTACACATGATGGTTCAGTTTTGGAATTCTCTCTAAAAACTGTAACAATAAAAGTGTGGGAACAAAGTTCCAAAGCTCTTTGTGTCTGTGTGTACTGACTGGTGTTTTATTCAGGCCAGTTATGCAGTAGATTAATAGAGAGTTGAGCTGAGGGGCTCTGGATGCTCTTCCCTCCTGATGTCCTCGGCAGACTGGATTTAATGACTGTGGATTAATCAAGTATTGCATGCCCTGGCTACACAGGTTCATTAGGATGATGTATTACAGCCATGGAAGGTGAAAAGTGTGTGTGTGCGTGTGTGTGTGATGCAGTCAACTGTCCTTTAATCATCACAAACCCACAGTCTCTTGGAATGACTTAACCCAGAATCCCAAGATTATTCCGGGCACAGCTAAAAGCCATTTTATTTCATAAGCACACACATTAGAATCAAATTTGGAGGGCTGTGGAGACAATTTTAGTTTGTGTGTCAAACACGGTTCTGAATATTAACATATCGTTCAACATTAATACAACACAATCAGATATGTGATATTGATATTTCCTTTATGGCCGCAGTGGCCACACTATAAACTATCTAAACTAGGGGTATTCAATTGGCAGCCCGCGGGCCCAATCCGGCCCACCAATCATGTTCATCCGGCCCGAGGGAAGAGTACGCACGCGCAGGTCGCACATACGCCTTGAATTGTTTTTGCACTAATTAGTTTGTCCACAAGGTGGCAACACTGGCCCGGGCCGTCGTTTTACAGCCAAAAAAGAAAGGGAAGAGAAGCAACAACAACACCAATGGACAGCAGCATTGACAAGTGCTTGTGTGATATCCACAACTCTAGTTTAAACGAGTATAAAGGCAGTGTTAACGGTCATAACTTCAGGCAAGAAATAGCGCAGACACTGGACAAAGATGATTATCAAATGGAGTATAGTTTAAAAAGGCTGCACGTTCTGCTGAGCTGCCACAGTAGCACTTCAACGGACAAACACACACACACACACACAATTATGTCAAAATGTGCAGTTTTGGTTAGTGACCTCGTAAACACGGTTATAAAGTGAATTATAAAATCCTTAATAACCGTAAAGCAGGGTTGGGCAACTTTGGTCCTGGTGGGCCACTGTCCTACAGAGTTTAGCTCCAACCCTACTCAAACATACCTGAACAAGCTAATCAATGTCTTCAAGATCACTGGAAAGCTACAGGCAGGTGTGTTCAATTAGGGTTGGAGCTAAACTTATATTTTCAAAGCCTTTAAGCCTAAACCTAATGTTAAAAATAATGGCTTTCAATTATACTGTAATGATGAATGGCTATAATTAATGACTAAAATTGAGGTGAAATTTAATTTAATAGAGACATCAGTAGCAGTATTGGTATCAAAAATACTGGCCTTTGTTAATAATAGGCTACTTAGCAAAAAGATGTCATTGTGTCATTTTGACACAGCTTATTGTAATAAAGCTAAGCTAACAATGCAATAGTCTAATAAAAATGCACAGCACAAACATATATTGGTCATTAATAATTGATTAAAATGTAGTTTTACCTAATTTGCTCTATATTAGCTATGTGTGTATATATAGCAAAAATACAGTAATATTGTGCAGTTTTCTGTTTTAATATTTTTTTTATATTAAAAGCAGCCATTGGTTGAGTTTTCAGTGTCACATGATCCTTCATGTCATCATTCTAATATGATGATTTGGTGGTCAAGAAACATTTTAAATGTATTATCAATGTTGAAATGTTGTTTTTCAGGATTCTTTTATGAACAGAAAGTTAAAAAACAGCATTTATTTGAAATAAATTACATCTTTTGTAACATTCTAAATGTTTTTACTGTCACTTTTGATGAATTTAATACTTGCTGAAAAAAAAACAAAAAAAACATGAATTTCTTACGGACTCCAAACTTTTAAGCACCCTTACAATGCTTTAAAATGCTGCCTACTGAGGCAGAAAGATCCCCCTGCAAATGTTGTGCAAGTATTTGAATGAGATTTATGCTGGCTGCCTCTATCATGCACTGGACAAGAGATTAACCTCACCTGGTGCACACATATTTACCGCTTAGCCACCTTGAGTGCTCAGAATTATGTACGCACACACAACCGGCTGGCAGAATCGGAGGAAGGCGTTCTCTGGTTATTAAATGTAATCATAAACCACTTTCTGACAGCCCAGCGGTCATGGTCAGCTTAACTCTGCATATTTTTACTTTTACACACACAAAAACATGTCATTGCCTGTTTTCTGTTCCCCAAAGAAATAAATCTTATTTTTTCCATTTCATTTCAAAACAGAGAAAGATTTAGACTGGGGACTTTTGCTAGAGTTTGCACTAGGTGAGACTTTAACATTAATTCAGGCTGCTTCCAAAAGCTGAAAAATGCTGCCACCGCAGGGAGCATACGGAGGAAGGAAGGCAACAATGAACATCTGAATCCAATGATCGTGTCACATCCTGTCTACCGAGATACCTTCATCAGATTGGTTTTGAAGGCAGCACAGACGTATCCTTCGCTGCTTATGACTTCCCACTATTCTGCATGTGCGATTCTGTGAGAGTTGAGATAAAGGTCAGTGGAGTCTGAAAGTTGCACCTGCCACTCGGTTTAAAAATGTAGGCTTTTGGCCAATTTTTGTTTAACTTTTCCTTTAATTTCAAGCAAGAAATTAATATTACGGTGATTAAATATTTGCTTGGTTATCACCAAAGCTCTCTTTTTTTTTTTTTGTAAATCAATTAGACCGTTATCCTGTCCAAAATCAGTTGTGGGACTGC